TGCTGATCGTTCAAATCATCAAATTCAAAAATTCGAAATAATTTTGTGAATGAAGTTTTGATTTTGAAACATAGAAAAGAAATTTTTTGTTGAATAAAAAATGCAGAAAAAAAGAAAAAAAACTGAAGTTTTGTTGTTGAAAATTAATAAAAAAAATTGATTATAATTTAAACAAAAAACAGTTCTTTTGATAAGGAAAAAATGAAGAAAAATCTTTTTTTCAGGATGTGTGTGCGTAAGTAAAACATGAGCCCACACGTCCTGATTCGTACTCACATCCTTTTCATCATTACCCAAAACTTCTTCTATTTCTGGTTTAATTTTATCACCTAAACCTCCATCATCAATATCATCAAAATTTCAAGCTGAAATTCGTTCATTAACAATGCCTTCTTTAACTAAAACAGAAAATCCAATATGTTCGTTTCTTCTATGAGCAAAAGTTCAATCAGTTTCATTTACAACTGGAATATTTGCTTCAATAATAACTGATAAATCATATCGTTTATCATCAACAAATCAAGGGCGTTCAAATATAGATCTCTCACAAAATTAGGTTAATTATAATTTCAATATTTCCTATCTATTTTTTTTTCTTTATTTAGCATCAACAATTAAAACTAACTCAACTTTTACATACTAAAAACTTTGATCAATATCTTCATCAAATAAATTTTCAGCATCATCATCTTTTCTTGAATCAACCAATAATTTACAAAAATCTTTTTTAAATAATAAAAACTGAATTTTGTCGAGATTCAAATACAAATAATTGTGTAAAGCGTCGACGTTGTTCAATCGAGAATTCATTGTATCAATAACATATGTATATCTTTTATATATCGATGAAACAATAAAGTTGTTAATGAAATAATAATTACAATTATTGTTAGAGAGTAACTTAAAGGAGATGAGACGAATATGTTCCCAGTTGCAGTGCTTCCATGAAATGAGTTTAATGCAATGTTTTTCATGTTTGTATTCTCTGAGTATTATTAAACAGTGAATGTTTAACATTCTCTAACAAAATATAGTAACAAATAAATGAAAGAGTTCTTCCATCATTTTCAATATCAGAATGTAATGTATGTATGCTATCATCGTGATTCTGCTCGAAGACAAATAAAATTATGAACTTTATTTTAAAATATAACGTACATGATACAGAGTTAAATAAAGTTATTAGAAAGATAAAATATTTAGTTTATATTAACAAAGAAATACATACAAGATAATAGTATGATTTCATGTTTACTAAAATGATTATACCTATCTAAGTAAATAACTAGTCAGTTACATACACTTGTGTGTGCATAATCGACTAGCCATGCACACGTGTGTACATAGATACTTTCTTATGTGTATATCTGAAAAAGTAGATAAACAAATATTTATTTCTTTCATAGACTTCTAATCAAACACATGGCAATGGCAAACAATAAAAGAAAATGTTTTACATGTGATAGAGAAAACAATACGTATACTTGTGAAGGATGTTCAAAAAGATTTTGTTTTATGGATTTAGCAGAACATCAACATAGATTGAATGATGAACTAAATCATATTAGTCATGGTTATAATGAATTTAAACAAATAATAAATGAACATAAACAAAATCCACAAAATTATTCATTCATAGAACAAATTGATCAATGGGAAAGAATTTCGATTGAAAAAATTCAAGAAAAAGCACAAAATCTTCGTGAAGTTATCGTTAAATCGTCGCAAACATTTATTAATGATATTGAAAAGAAATTTAATGACTTAAATAAACAAATACAACAACTTCAGAAAGCAAACGACTTCAATGAAATTAATTTAAACTATTTAAAAAATGAATTAACAGAAATCACAGAAGAATTAGATAGTTCATCAAATATCTCTATTCAACAAAATCGACAATCATTTATTAGTGATATTTCAATTATTTCATTTAAAAGTAAGTTTTATAGAAATAATCTCTAAAAAAACATACTGCTTTTGGATGAAATTATATTGAAAAACTGCAACACGATGAAAAATAATGATGAAGAAGAGAAAAAATATTGAGAATATTATTGATTGATTTAATCAATAATCATAAAATTGATAGAAATAGAAAATTGAATTTTTTTGTATGTAAAAGAAAAGAAGGATGGAATATGAAATAATATGAAATTAAAAAATTAGTTTTTCTTCAATATTTTAAAAAAGATTTAATTGATAAAAAAAACAAAATTTTCTTGTTCTTCTTTTCATCAAAATCTTTTATTTTCATTATTTTCTAGAATCAAAATTCAATAAATGGAAACAAAATCCCATAATCGTAGCTGGTGGAAATGAAGAAGGACAAAACTTAAATCAACTCAATAGTCCTGTTGGAATGTTTATTGATAAAAACAAAAATATCTTCATTGCTGATCGTGATAATCATCGTATTGTTGAATGGAAATGTAATGCAAAAGAAGGACAAATTATTGCAGGTGGAAATGGCGAAGGAGATCGAATAGATCAATTGTATTGTCCAACAGATGTGATTGTTGATCAACAAAATTATTCGATAATCATTGCTGATAATGGGAACAGACGAGTGATTCAATGGTTGAACCAAAACCAGCAAATTCTCATCGATGATATTGACTGTTATGGTTTGGCAATGGATAAACACGGATTTCTTTATGTTTCTGATATTGTGAAAGATGAAGTTAGACGATGGAAAATGGGAGAATACAACAATGAAGGAATTATAGTAGCAGGTGGAAATGGTGAAGGAGATCAACTGAATCAGCTCAATTGTCCAGATTGTGTCTTTGTTGATGAAGATCAATCTGTTTATGTATCAGAGAGCAACAATCATCGTGTGATGAAATGGACAAAAGGCGCAAAAGAAGGAACAGTTGCGGCTGGAGGAAATGGTGGAGGAAGAAATCTCAATCAATTGTTTGAACCTGAAGGGGTATTTGTTGATAATTTGGGTAAAATTTATGTGGCAGATTGTGATAATCATCGAATAACTCGTTGGTGTGAAGGAAAAGAAGAAGGTGAAATTGTTGTTGGTGGAAATGGTGAAGAAAATGAATTGAATGGTCCTGTGGACTTATTTTTGGATGATGAAGGAAATGTTTATGTTACTGATTATTCTAATCATCAGATTGTAAAATTTGAAGTAGTTTTGTAAATAAAATTTTGATTTTGAAAGAAAGAAAAAAATATTTTATTGAATAAATAATCGAAAAATAAAAGGAAAAATAAAGTTTTATTGTTGAAAATCAGTGAAAAGAATCGATTAAAACTTCAAAATAAAGACATACTTTGACGAATGAACGAAGAAAAATCTTTTTTGTGTTTTTCTTGAAAATTGAATTTAATATGATGATTTCGATTAGACGATTCGACTAAATAAATGTTAACTTCTTCGTCTTTTGTTAATTTTTACTGAATTTCATAGGAAAAAAGAAAAGAAGAGAAAATATGTTGTAATTTGAATTGAATCAAAATAAAAACTATTCGAAAAGAAGATTTTATGTTTGATAAAATTCTATTTGAATATTTTTATTTTTTCGATTTAATAAAATTTAGGAATCGTTCAAAGTCGATAATGAAAATCGACATGAAATGAATATTGTTGAGCAAAACAAATGTTGAAAAGATTTTTCTTTTTTTAGAAAATCAAATTATTGAATTGAAAATTTTCTTTAATCTGATATTTTAATGAAAACATGATTTTAAACTCAATTTTATCTTTTTCCGTAAAAAAAATCAAATTATTTATTAGTTTTAAATCAATGCAGTTGTTCGTAAAAAATTTTCAAATTTGATGAAGAAATGTCAAAAATAGCTTGTTTATGTGACATATATTTTAAATCATATTGATGAGATGCGAATGAAAATGAAGGTTTAGATTATAAAATCCTCGAAAAAGATCAACTGATGATATGTATTAAAAAATTCATTAGTAGGTAATTCTAAAGTCATTTGTTGTTGTATTTTATTTGTAAACATATGCAAGCATCTTCTTTTTCTCTCACAAATATTTATAATATATACACAGGTTGCAAAATAACATTCTTGCACAATAACTCGTATAGATGAAATCTTTCTATTTTGATCAAACAATATTAACATCATATTCATGAATCGGTCGTTAGTTTTATTACTTATCAACTATAATTGTGAGATGGTCGAGAAAAAAGGCAAAAACAATAAATTATGGTAGTTCCTCTATTAACAGTCTGAACATTAATGACTTCATGGAATCTTCACTGTCTGAAATTCATCATAATTCTCTATCGATATTTACCGTTCTTTTCTCATGAATAAAACTGATCCTTGAGTGCTGGAAAACTTTTGCATTTTATTGTGTAGCATTTAGTTTCATAACAATGAATTAAATATCATAAACTATATTATTGCTCATTTCTTCTTTCATCAGGCAGTTCTTCAGAAATCCTAATTGTAAATACAAGTACAAGTGAAATCATACATATGGAAGATATAAACGAGAAATAGTTTTATTATGATTATTTGAGAACTACAATTTCATAAAGATTTCTATAAGAAGAAGATGTGTAATAGAATGAAAAGACACACAATTTTTCAATTTTCATACAAAACATAAAGGAAATCGACGATCTTGACAAAATCCTCCGTGATAGCCGTGTCTTAGGCAACACTGATGAACAGTTGGACCATCTCTACATGGGCCGCAGGCACGTACATAATATTGAGCCATAGTCATTCCCATAACTAACAGACAGAACAAGAGACAATTGTATTGTTTCTTGAAAACAAATGACTTACCCA